TCTTTTTGTATTATAGTCTACAAACTTATCAAGAAAACTTTAGTTAAACTCTCAGAATTAATGAACGGCAAAAGAATAACCAAAACAGGTGATCTAATGGATTTAAATCCACTTTGTATTGTTTATTTGGATCTTGTCGTTGATGTTTAGGACTAAAATTAATTAGTCACTTACTGGCATATGTGCATCCTGTGCAGAGTGCTTCGATATTGCCTTAAGTCACAAGCAAAGATGGATGTTGGCTAGTAGTGGAATCTAGAACACTTGCGAATCGTCAATTGGTTGTACCTAAATCCGTGTTGGTGTCTACTCCGAGACCCGAACCCAGAAGCGTTTGCTTCAAACACCATCACGTTATCCACTTAGTTAATGAGTCCTGATAGCCATTGGATTGTAAAATGAGGTGAAGTCTCAAACATCAATGGGAAGATTCAAACAAGCGATACAAAATGAATGAACGGTACTGGGTACGAGTAACATAGTGAACATCAACTCTGACATGCAGATATATCCAGCTGATGAGTTCTAAATAGAACGAAACGCGTGTCCTGGATTCCACTACTAGCTATTATCTATCTTTGCATCAAATGGATTTGTTTTATTTTATACCACTCAGATAGTTAGCTTTCTAAAATTGAATATAACATGTGAAAAAGATAACATTGAAAGCCATTTAAAATACTGTTGTTTATGAACGAAAATGTATTCATGGATTTTTAAATATTTAATTATAGTTCATATCACTATATCATTTAGATAACCGATTTAATCCCCGAAATATGAGTTCTTAAGGATGAATGAATTTATTATGTAGTGACAGTTTCATTATTTACTTTAATAGGAAATAAATCATGATACGATGCCAAAATCAAATTTCAAGGTCATTAATCATTCTTTTAAATATTGTCCACTAAACTAGAATGAAGCAATTGGCTATATGATGATTTCTAATTTCCAACTGATATTGGTTAGTCAGAGTTTTCTCATAAGATTTAATCTTAAACACTTGTACAGTAATTGTTTTTTGTTCCGATAATTCGAGTAACCATTTAGCTTTATTTAACTTTGATTCACTAAACTTGTCTACTACTATTACTCACAATTGATTGATCACTGGGCGGTGATCAATGTCATGTGTGTCAAGTCCTTATTTAATGCAGATCGAATGCTATCGATCATGTTGCAATGTGGCCACCAGTCTAGGTGACTCAACACTGCGTGCACTATATATTGAGATTAGATGGTGGTTGGAGGTAGTCGACTGGATTCGATCTGTATTAAATAAGAACTTAACACACATGAAATTGATCACCACTCAGGGATCAATCAATTGTGATTACATCTCAGTCCTACAGGAGGTTAGTCACGGCTCGGATAGCTCAGTGGTAACGTCTCTGACTGTGAAGCTGGGTGACACGCGATGGAATCCGTCAGAGAACATCAGTTCCCTCAAGATTACAGGTACACCTTGCTGACGAGTGCCAAGTAGCACGGAACCTGGGTCCAGGGTTTCCTGTTGACTACTTCCAACCACCATCTAACTACTACTACTGCTAATAATAATAATATCAGTAATAATGATCATAAAAATAATAACTACCCATCATTTGAACTTATTTTCAAAATCATCTTTGTAGTTCTACTCTGAATATCTAATCTTGAATAACAATCAAATGATGTATAATATTCAACCTCATTAAAAAAGTACTTTCAAGTATATCAGTCGATAAAATTGTAAATGTAAACTAAAAATTCCACAACAAAAAGATACAAGTGTACTATTCGCATATCAATGATCAAAAACATGAATTGAATAATCATTTAAAGTGTTAAGTACTAGAGGTCACTTTGGATTAAAGATATTATTGTTTATTTCATTGAAAAAGCTTGGACCAGATTGTCAGGCAAAACGTTGAATTCACTTCAAATTCTTTCACTGAGATTTTACAAATACAACATTCTTCCTCTTTAATGTCTCATATTAACTCTACGCCCAAATACTGTAAAACTATTCGGTCAAATTTAGAAGAAAGTTCTTATTTATTTTTCTTCCTTATCATGGAAATTGAGTAAATATTTCACAAGAAAATAAATACCATTTTATAGACTGTTAGGTCCTGGGTTCTAATCTCACAGAGGTAGTTTCATGAATGCGTACTGCTGAGTAGTTCTATATTAGGACGAAACAGTCATCCAATGCTTTCGGGTTTAACATGATAGTCTAACTTCAATTGATTTGTGAATTCAACTATTAGAATGACTGAAAAACATCTCCTGATAAAAAAAATCATCTAAGTTTATTTTTCAAGAAAACTGTTATAACTTGTGGACTTCTGTGCCCTGTTATTGTATAACGCAACGATACCGCCAATCAAATATCAGCGAATTATCGATCGAACCAGTGACGCATAAAACACGTGCGAGCAGGCTAAAGTCCTGATTGGTCTCGCGTTCTGTCTAGCCCAGCCAGTTAAGTCCAGAATACCAATCGCAGCCATCGTCATATGAATCATGTATTTCAAACATACTGGGTTTATATACAAACCAAACAGATCACATCCTACTATAAAATAGGAAATAACATTCACACAAGATTTAGCCAAAAGTGACTGTGAATGTAGAAGACTGTAATTAATAGACTGGGTAGAACTCAAGGACAATAAATCATACAACAATAGTCTATGAGTCAAAATAAAGCGTATAAAAAGAGGAAAATGAATATTCATAGTCTAGTCACTTTAAAAGTATACAACAAAAACAAATGTATAATATTAGTCCATGAATGGATCCCGAAAATTACCATTCATTATTCTTATGGGAATATCACACCTCCCCTTTTTGAAGATCCGGATTTTAAATTTTCCGGGTTTATGTAATGAGAAATACTGTATGGCACACAAAAACCAAACAATTAGTTTATTCAAGTTAGTCGTTAAGTTTTAATAGAATGATTTACTGAAACTGTATTTGATTGACTAGAAATGAATGATTGTATTTTCTTCCTTCTCCTTCTCCTTCTTCTTTCTTCATTTGGGCTCAGTTTGAATCCTGATTAGTTATATTACTATTTATCATTTTATCCATCTATCCATCTATTCATTCATTTAATCTATTCAATTATTTGAAGTACTTAGACGTGTACAATACTCGTCAGTTCATATGAAAACTACACATATCGGTAGTTATTATTATTATTATGTATAATTCATTAAGATTTCTATATTTGTCCCCCTAAAATAACATAAAACTTATGGTGAATTTACACCTTAAACAAAAACAAAAAAGAAAAAAGAGAGAAAAAACGGGAATACACATCATCAATTAGATAAAGAAAAATCCAAGAAAGAAATCTAAAAAGAATATTGACATATTTTTTCTAGTCACATTAGGTAACTGTCAAGGAAATAACATTTTTAACAGTGAATTAATAAGAGAACATGTCAAAATTTGTTAAATTACTTAGATACAATGTCAGCTGTCTATTTCTTTTCTCTTTTTTTTTATAATTTAGCATTCTTTTTGGCATCTTTTAAGAAAACACTCATATCACACACACACACACACACTCTAGTGTACCTCTCTCTCTCTCTGTGTGTGTGTGTGTGTTCAACATACAATTTGTATAGATTTAGTCTAACGTTTACTGATTCTTTCATTGTAGAAAAAGAAATATCTGATGGAATTTTAGACTTGATGCTGTATTAACTAACTAACTAACTAACTAACTGAATGAATGACTGAATGACTGAATAACTCTTTTGAAGACATGTATATGTCAAAGTTCTTTAATATTTTTAAATGATCCATTTGTAGATTTTCTATTTTATGCTAAAATGAAACGACAATAAAGAAAAGTGGAATAAGTCACGTAAAAAAGTAAAAATGATGAAAGAAGAGAATAAACTGATGATGCTGGTGTTGAAGCTCTTTGTGTGTGTGTGTGTGTGTGCGTGTCTGTGTATAGGGGTGGGGAGTGTTGGATGATGCTATTCGGAATTTTGTTGTATCTTTCTTTTGTTTTTGCTGATTTAATCGTAATGACCTACTGGGGAAAATGAAAGTAGACATGGAATGAAATAAATGAATATGGATTGTACAATTCAAAATAAAAAGATTATACTTATTATGATTAGTATTGTTATTAAGTTCCTTTATAATTTCTATGCATGACAGATCTTCAGAACACATACATACTAACACCCTTATCCACTTATGTGTGTATATATATATATATATATATGTATCCATGTACAAATTGATATGCATGTAAAGAATGTTTTGAATATGTGAACATTCTAAGATTAAGTTTACAAAAGGAACATAATAGAAACGAATTAGAAACACGAGAACATGTTACAATACTTAGAACAGAAAGAAATTGAAAGAGATAAAATTAAACAAAGTAATTTACAAAAACGAAAGACAATTTGTAAACACCCCATGGGGGTTTAAAAAAAATTCTTTTATTTCATGCATTTTCTTCATTTTTTTTTTACCTTTTCTTCTTATTCGTCTTCTTCTTCAATGTTCAATTGTTTGATCAACTGTTTCGTGAATTAATTCCAATGAATAAGCCAACAAAAGTTATGTTCTAACTCCTTTTCTAATGAGAGATTTACTTTGTATATATGTATATAGTTGAAAGTGACTATTTATGCTTTAAGTGATGATGTAAATTATACAGTATGATATAGGAATAAAATGAAAAGATTGTTTCTTTTTTCTTTGTGTTCATTTGAAGAGAAAATGTATATGTGTGTGTGTGTGTGTGCGAGAGAGAGAGAGAGAGGGAGAGAGAAGAACGACTGATATATACAGATTTTTCACATAAGTGAAAATATTAATTAGTAAACGGATGAAAACGAACTTCTAATGATGTATAAAGGTATATCAACGAGATGACATTCGTTTACCCAATGAACTTTACATTATACATTATATACTATTTTTTGTCTAGTTGAAATTTGAATTTTGTTGTTATATTGTTGATATATTTCAATATGACATGTAAGATAGATACTTTGTTACACTTAACATTTGTCGGAATGACAGATTTCATGGGGGAATATATCATATCGACAGTCGACATTTTTTTTTCTTTTTTAAACTAATTGACAGTCTTTTACGATTACTACTACTACTACTACTACTACTACTACTACTACTACTACTACTACTACTACTACTACTACTACTACTACTACTACTACTACTACTACTACTACTACTACTACTACTACTACTACTACTACTACTACTACTACTACTACTACTACTACTACTGCTACTACTACTACTACTACTACTACTACTACTACTACTACTACTACTACTACTACTACTACTACTACTACTACTACTACTACTACTACTACTACTACTACTACTGCTACTACTACTACTACTACTACTACTACGAGTAGTAGTAGTAGTACCATTAAAATGAACATATAATGTGCTTAAATGATTCTACATTAAAATTTCAATGTGTATATTCATCGAGTTTAGTGTAACATATTATTCTGAGATTAGTGTGTTTTGTTGCTTACTAAATGAAGATTATTATTATTATGCATCGTTTGAGTGTGAAATGCTAGGGCATAATTTCAACAACAAAAAGTGAATTCTTGGATTAGTTAAAGTTAGACATTAACATCGTTGGACGCCGGCCAGCTCAGTGGTCTAATGGTTGAGCACTGACGCGCGAGACTGATAGGTCCTGGGTTCGAATCTCGCGAGGCGGGATCGTGAATGCGCACTGCTGAGGAATCCCACATTAGGAAGAAACGACCGTCTAGTGCTTCCAGGTTTTCCATGGTGTAGTCTAGCCTCAATTTTACCATGATCTACAGTATTATCTCACTTATCCCTAAAAGATATTATCAACGAACTTGTTGATGGAAATTTATCAAATTTAACCATTTCACAAATTTTCGTTATTTTTATTTTTTACCATAACTAGCAACAGACTGTTTCAAAATCAGATATTATTATTATTGTTATTATATATAATACTGAATAAGGACCGATATTAGTTGAGTATAGACTATTTAGATGATCATCTATTTGATATGAACCAAAATTTATTGAATTATTCAGAAGCATTAATCAATACGATCAAGATATAGACATAAATCATTTTGTTCTTCTTGAATAATCAAACGGTTTTTCTTATTTTTCTACAGTCTACAATTATGAATTATTATTATTATTATCCTTACCATTACTATCGTTATCGTAACTATCATTACCATTATTAACATTACTTTTATTATTATTAATGTTTCAACACAAAATATCTTATTTTGAATACTTAATGAGGTAGGAACCTTAAAAGATATTGTTGAATGCTGGCCAGCTCAGTAGTCTAATGGTTAAGCGGTTGTGTGTGAGACTGATAGGTTTTGTGTTCGAATTTCGCGAGGAGGGATCGTGGATGCTCACCACTGAGGAATCCCACAGTGGGACGAAATAGCCGTCCAGTGCTTCCAGGTTTTTCATGGAGATCTAGCTTTAATTGGCTCATGATCTTAACTATTAAAATTACTATGATATCCATAAAGCCCCTTCTGACATTATAAATGATTATTTTTCACTAATAAAGATCATTTGTCTTATTCTTTGTTTATCAGATATTATTAGTTTAATGAAACATGATATTAGATTTGGACTTCTTCGTGGTTATCGTGACTCACTACCTTAGTAGATATTGTACTGATGTTTAAATCAATGTTTTACTTTGCTCGAGTTCGAACTGTGAATACTCACTTCTAACAAATTGTAAATGCTATCTCTTGACGAGAATATTGAATGATAACTGTTCGGATCCATTCATGGACTAATATTATACATTTGTTTTTGTTGTATACTTTTTAAGTGACTAGACTATGGATATTCATTTTCCTCTTTTTATACGCTTTATTTTGACTCAGACTATTATTATAAGATTTATTGTTCTTGAGTTCTACCCAGTCTATTAATTACAGTCTTCTACATTCACAGTCACTTTTGGCTAAATCTTGTGTGAATGTTATTTCCTATTTTATAGTAAGATGTGATCTGTTTGGTTTGTATATAAACCCAGTATGTTTGAAATAAATTTTTCATATTACAGAGGCTGATGTTAGTGTTCTGAACTCTAAGATGCAGGACTAGGCGGGAAGCAGGACCGGATAAGGACTGTAGACTGCTCGTACAGTTTTTATGCATCATTGGTCCAATCGATAATTGATTGTTCTCTAATTGTCGGTATCATTATGTTATATATTAATAGGGCATAATGCCCTAAGCTATTACAGTAAACAAGATATAACTCACGTTCTCAGTTCCATGATTTGTCACTATCAGAAAATTTAATAAGAATTGTTCAGAATTAACCTGCAACTACAAAATGTACTGGGAGAAAATTGGATTTATTGATTATGAAACATTATTTGAATGAAAGAAGTTAGCTTATTTTTTTGTTAAGACTTAAGATGATTATTACCGTTTACAAATTGCAATCATGTGATGAGAACACAGAGTTGATCTATAAGAATATTATATATTTGAGCTATATATTTCGAATACTCTGGCCATAAAAATATTTATCTAGGGATTCTTATATGCCAGGCAGGTCAGTTGGAGAGTGGTAAGATCAAGTGAGACAAACTCATGTTTCGAGAGCAAAGTCCTGTTGCTGACTGTAGAGAGGTCTGACAGCAGTAGGGTGTTTCTCTAAGACAACCGACATCTGAAGTTATGCTGCTTTCTCATAACAGAAGGAAAGGATCATCGAAGGTCGACTCTAGAAATGTTGCACCTCACTTTACCTCATGGATTGCTGTGTCTGGTGGCAAAGCCTTTTGAAGTGCGAAACTAACACATCAAAAACTTCCCATAAAAAGGCCGTATGCGATCGACCTCAAAAAGTTGTCCCTTAGGCTCTGTGGTAATTTCCTAAGGTCGTTAAGACCACCAACGATTCGTCATTTTTAAGTCTCTCAAGAATAAATATCCATTCATGGTGTGGGTATAGCAAATCTCCTACAATTAATTTCGATTATGGATATATTTTGTTAAGCTTTTTTATTAACTTATTTAACAGACAGTGTTATTCGAACAGTAAAAATTCGCATATTTCTTTGTACTATTATGATCACAGTCTTGTTTGTATAAGCCTGTACGCTTGCTCATATGACAGCCTGTGTGCATATCTCTCTAGCTTAAACGTTAATCGCTTAAACATCGCTCGATAAGTCATTCTCTTTCCCATGTATATATAAAGTCAAATTCTTTTATTAGTTGTTGCCTTGCCTAGCTGCACCTTAAACGATCTGACGATAAAATCGCCTCTGTATTCACTCACACACATATATTAGCCTCTTTGCTCCAAATTCGCTCGATGTGTTGATAACTTTGTTATCTGTGCTATTCGCTAATAAACTGTAGTCGCCGTTTCTTGTTGCCTGCTGAATTCGAACACTGTTTGGATTTATATGCTAACGGTTATCAAGGTGATTGATTAACATGGGCAACTGAGAAGTGACAAACGCCCTCATACCTCTAACGGCACCCGAGATCATCTTGTTGACAATCAAATCCCACCTTCACCTCTTAAGAATTCTTCCGTCCCCACGACTAATCCAATTTTCTACTCATTGGGATATTACAAATATATTATTTTTATTTTTATACCTTCTCATATATGTCTTTATCGCCACTTGCCACCAATGCTATAGTTTGGTTTCACAAAATGTTATTTTTGGTCTATTGAAACTACAGTCTAAACTGCATGTTGAAGCTTTTAACGTTCGAATTTTGTGTCTGATAGGATAACAGATTTATTTAGATGGGACAATGGGGTCTTGCGTCATCTATGAATACTGCGTCTCCGGAACGTACATAGAGGATCCAAGTACAGTCATTTGTTTGACCTTACATTGTCACTATAAATAATCGGGACGTATTACCCTTTGAGCATCTAAAGACCCTACTGCTACTTCAAGCGGCCTCGCGCCTGTAGGTATGGAATTAAGTTCAAAAGCACAGCGGGTTCTATTAGAATGGACTTCGATAGACAGTCGTTTGTGCGCTGTCCGACTAAAATGGGACAGTAAGAACTTGAAAAGATAGGGACACATGCCGTTGCCTTTTTGTTGTCTCTTTCTACGCCTTCACTGATTTCAGCTCGAATGAAGTTAAATATGGAGCAGTAGCAGGTGATTCCATGCTCAAGTAGGTAAACTAAACTAAACCGAATGGCACTTAGGCGGACCTTAAAGTGTTGCAGCTCAGCGAACATATAATAGAGAGCGTCTGTTACAACTATGCTCAGATAACCGTCTGTCTCTGGTGAAAACCAACTTCGAACGTAAGAAGAAAAATCATCTGACGTGACGACCTTCATAATGGACCCATCGATGGACTCAAATAGATCACATAGCTATTAACTATCGTTGAGGGAGGGGGCTCGGCTGTAGACTGAGGCTTAATGTGGACAACATATTTAGACTTGAATCATGCTCTAGTTCGAGCAAGTATTTGTCTGTGTATTAATGGATGTAGAAAAGCCACAACAAGAAAACTCAATAGAGTTCAACGTAATGATGGAAAAATCAAGGCTATATTTCAGGGACAATCAACCGGGAAAATGATGACAACTCCAAGGTAGCTTGACATGAAATCCAAAAAGCTGTGAATACAGTAGCGATATCTACTAGTAACTTAAATTGAAAAATTAGGAAAAATCAGTGGATGTCAGGGGCGTCTACAGCACTGATAGGTGCCCGTGAACTCGTCCCGTCTTGTTCTAAGGAGCTGAGGAAGCTTCAAAGTATGGTGGTAATAAGCTTACGTAATGATCGTTAGTGGTAGTAGCAAAATCAGAAGAGATGGAAAAGGTAGCAGCGATAGGTAACAGTAGAAAACCGTTTAGACTTATCAAGGAAACGGTTACTGAAAATCTGTCTGTTAGTGGAACTATCTCGGATAAATACGAGACGTGTTTACTCTTAACCTAGGAGGTTGAAGTGATGGGCAGAAAACTTAAGGGAACAGTTCAACTGGGCTTCAGAAACACTTCGGAGATCACAACTGATTGATCACTGAGTGGTGATGAATTTCATGCTTGTCTAGTCCTTATTAGTGCAGATCGAATGCTATCGATCATGTTGCAATGTGGCCACCAGTCTAGGTGACACTCAACTATGAACTTTATATGAGCGTGTGCGTGTATCTTAACCTATTCATCACATGGTCTAGCTTCAGTTGACTCATGATCTCAACAGTTAAACTACTGAAATCTCCACAAAACCCTCTTCTGACACGTCTATAGCTTATTTTTGTGTGACTATAAATATTGATTGCGCTTGATGAAATCGAGTTAGCTCCCTCACCTTGTTTATTGCGCGTCATTTTGTTTTACTTCGCTTTCCTATCATCGATTGTACGAAATATACGTATTCAGAATCCAT